AGATTGGTCTCTCTAAGCGAGATCCCAATTCGTCGGTCATCCGACGTGACGTCGAGAGTGACCGACTGAAAGGGAACCATGAATGTCACAAAATATGCAGTTGATCATTTGTCTGTAAGGCAACTGTACATCCAAAGTATTCCACTGTTGTCACACACAAGAGCTTATTGTTGATGTGTTTCATGATTAGCCCATGTGTGTTAAAATGGAAGATACAAGGTCCTGTGAAATGTAATGAACAGTAAAGGACATTCAGCTGAGCCAGCACTCCATCTATCAGCACTCCAGTTTCCATCTATTTTACGCCTCTGTGCAACTGAACAAATCCGCATGATCAAATATTTAATAATGGCTCCTCTGTCAGTAAAAACTCTGGTATTGATCCCCTCTTGTACACTAAATTAGTTTTTCAACAGCCAGCGAGCCTTTCTCACACTCACACAAAGGCAGATTTAAGCAGTTCTGAATTAAAGCAGAAATATTTCCATCTCACACTCAGAAGACCCTGTGTACTGTACTTCTTGGGATGGCTAATCGCCTACAACTGAAAGTATTCCACACCCCATTATGACCCAACACCCACATGTAATGCTGGCTTACCTCAAGTGTACTGTCTACAGTTCATATCAGTTCTCTGATAGTTGGGTATAAAGACATATTGACATATCTGGACATATGCGTACACGCTCTATGAGACACCCACTGGTTTTCTAATCTGTCACATATTGTGAAACCGGGTTACACACAAATGCACTGGGCCAATCAATAAGAAACAGCCTAAGGGACCTTTAGCGCCAATCTCTCATGGACTGACCTCTTATCTCTCCCTACTCCCTTTATCCCCACTCCATCCATCCTCTATTGACTAATCTCCCTGAAATCAATAATCCCCATATTTCCTTGCTGAAGTCTTATGCCATTAACCCATTTATGGCTCTGTGAAGGATTTCTGTGTGCGTGTGTGTGTCAGGGCAATGGGGGTAGAATATAGGAGGTTAATAGGTCAATGCATCCCCCTCCTCCCCAGGGTCATCAGATACCTTTTTTTTTTTTTTTTAAGAAGGCACCAATGGGAGTCCTTTGGCGCCAACAGGCAAGAAAAGACATGACCAGGAAGAAAAAAGAATGCACTTTTTAAAGTGTAAGATGGGATAGTCTAATAGTACAGACAAATTTAGACATGTGAATGGGTGATTTCTGACGCAGAGTTTCAAACAAACTCAGTTTGAATTTGATTGCAGTATTAAATTTGATGAACTTGATCCACTGAAGACTGCCAGTCTTCGGTATGTGATGTAACCATTAGATAATGTTACATAGTCAACAGAGTACCTGCCACATCTTTGGGTATCAGATATACAGTAATGAAGCAGCTTTAAAGACTTGATAATCAGCTCTAACCACTTGAATGACTATTGTAATACGAGTGACCATTTGCTGAGTCATTGTTTTAGGGCACACAGAGCCTAAACTTTTATTATGATTTGTCAGCTTTTTCTTGCTGTTGCACGACCACAATTGACTCGTTCTGTTTTCACTGTTGCCATGGTGCCATTATTGATTATTGATAAAAGATATTTATATCTAGAGTGCATATCCTCCTCTTCATGCCAGGCGGGATCAATAGACCGAGCAACAACCTTCAGTTGTCCTTCCTAGGAGAAACTAAGTGGTTGCTGCTCAAGTCTTGGTGGATGGCATCTATTTTTCTGTTGTTTATAATTAGCACCATGGGCGACATTAGGGGGGGGGCAAATTGTTAGTAATGGAATCCCAATGTTGGCCCCTCACCATGTTTTTGCAGCGTTGAGCAATGTAGCCAATCACAGACATATCTGTTGATTTCTTGAACGCAATGGCCAAT